TTTTTTGTTTCTGGGACAGAGTTTCTCTGTATAGCCCTGGCTGTCCTGGAACTGCATTTATAGACCAGGCTGGCCTTGAACTCAGAAATCTGGCGTGCCTCTGCCTCCCAAGTATTAAAGGTTTGTGCCACCATGCCTGGGTGACTTTTCTTAAGTTTAAGCTTTTTTTTTTTTTGTTTCAGAGTCCCATGTAATCTAGGCTGGTTTCTAACTTACTGTATGGCTGAAGATGACCTCATCTCACCTTCCTGCGCCTGAATTGAAGTTTTGCTTTTATGAGGCGGGTGGGGCCTTGTATAGTATATCCCAGTCTGGTTTTGAGCTGGTGATTCTCCCACCTCTCCCTCCTGAGTGGATTATAGGCTAGCCAAATGATAGTTTTATGTCTTTTCTTGTTAAGGATTCACCTTCCCTCACACTAAGTTTTTTTCTTTTGAATCTTCACAGTAAATAATCCTAATCCCAAATGCTGGGATTGAAGGCATGCAGCCCTGCCATCACCTGGCTGTTACTCTGTACTTTTGAGTGTTTGCCTGCACATATGTATGTGTATCACATGCACATCTGATGCCCACAGAAGCCCTAAGGGGTCATCAGATCCCCAGTAACTGGGTTGTAAGCTGTCATGTGGGTGCTGGGAACTAATCTTTGAACGCAGGATTTTAAAAGCTATTTTGTGGTCAATCATGGTGGTACATACCTTTGATCCCAGTACTAGGGAAGCAGAAGCGGGCAGATACTGCCGTCATTATCTGTAGTACACCTGCATGCCAGGAGAGGTCATTGGATCCGTTTATAGATGGTCATGAGCCACACGTGCTTGCTTCTTAGGCAACAGGGCCTCTAGAAGAGCAACCAGTGCTCTTACCCACTAAGCAGTTTCTCTAGCATCCACATAGGAGTGTCTTATTAACTACTTGGTATCAAGGTTTTATTTTAATCTCATGAGATTTTAGGAAGTATATGCATATTTATAGTTTTGGGAAAGTTCCTAATTTTAGTTGTATGTTTATTATAATTTTCCCCTGGGGTGCATGTATTTTTTTTTTCTGTTTTTGCTTTTTTTTTTACTGTGTTTTGCCAGCATGTATGTTTATGCACTGCATGCATGCAGTGTCTATGCAGGCCAGAAAGTGTCAATCTGTGACTGGAGTTATTGACAGTTGTGAGTTGCCTTGTGGGTGTCACTCCAATGTATATGTTTTTCAAATTAGGAACATTAAAGTGTTCTAACCTTTGTTTTCTTGAAGCAGGGCCTCGTGTAGCACAAATTGGCCTTGAACTCACTATGTGATTGAATATGACCTTGAATTTCTGATCTTCTTGGCTCTACCTCAAAGCATGCACTAACTACCACACCTAGTTTATTCAGTGTTGGCTGGCTACTAAACCCAGTTTTTTCATGCATGTTTGACAAGCATTCTTTGTTTGTTTGTTTGTTTGTTTGTTTGTTTTTTGAGACAGGTTTTCTCTGTATAGCCCTAGCTGTTCTGGAACTCCCTCTGTAGACCAGGCTGGCCTCAAACTCAGAAATCTGGCTGCCTCTGCCCCCCAAGTGCTGGGATTAAAGGTGTGCGCCACCACTGCCCGGCTTGACAAGCATTCTTGACTACATTCCCTAGTCCTCTTTTTGTCCCTCTCCCTCTGTTGAGTTAGGGTCTTTATATAGACCAAGCTAGTTTTGAACTTTACTATGTAACCAAAGATGGCTTTGAATTTGTAATCCTTCTGCTTCTACCACCCAAGTGTTAGAATAACAGGTATACAGATACATAACCATGCCTGGGTAGTTTGGGATAAGAATCTTGTTAATGTTTAGTTTGGTGTTGAGCTCTTAGTCTCAAGCAGTTCTACTTAGCCTTCTAAATGACTGGGACTACAGGCACATGCCATAGGACCCAGCTTTTGAATTTTGATTATCTTCATCTCTTTGTAGCCCCTTCTTCCTTTAAAAAAAAAAAGAAAAGTTTTCGATATTATTATTATTGTACGTGTGAAGGGGAGGTTATGTGATGTGTGTATGACTTTGCACCTACTGTGACATGCGTATGCTCAGAGGACATGGCTGTGGAGTCAGTTTTTTTCTGTCCCCCTTCCTGTGGGTTCCTGGCTGTTAAATCAAGCACCTTCATCTGCTGAACTGATGTCTTTCAATACAACCTTCTCCTAATGTTTTTCAGTGATTCTGTAATTTATACGTTTTTGCTCCTAGCTGTATTTAGGATTAAGGAATGAAACATGTAATGGCTTGTATAGTATAGTTGCAATACCTAGAAAATATCAGTTTAAATTTTAAAAAACACACAGATACTCAAATGTGTAAGAAGGGTTTGTACATCAAGATGAAAATAGGTTGGATTCAAGAGCTTTTACTTGTTTGTGATTTTATCCTTTCTCTACCAATATTAGATTATGATTGGTTGATTGATCGATCTAGACACGGTTTCTCTGTGTAGCTATGGCTGTACTAAAACTCACTCTGTAGACAGGCTGGCCTCAAACTCAGAGATCTGCCTGCCTCTAGAGTGGAGTGCTGGGATTAAAGGTGTGTGCCAGGGGGTGGGAGTAGGAGTGATTTGGATGTAAAGTGACTAAAGTAATGAAAAAGGCGTGTGCCACTATCACCTGGCTTATTGTTAAAGATGGTGGGCCACCACCACAGGGCTTTGTTTATGATAGACAACCATTATCAATTTTTTAAAAAAAAAGTTATGTGTATGTGTGTAAACAGTGTTGAGTTCTCTGGAGCTGGTGTTAAAAATGATTATTAGATGTATGGGGGTGCTAGGGTCCTTTGCTCTTAACTACAGAGTCATCTTTATACCTCAGCTGCTCAACTTTTTTGAGACAAGGTCTGGTTGGCCTGAAGTTTATTATATAGACCAGACTGGTCTGGAACCCAGATCAGTTTGCCTTTGAGTGCTGGGATTAAAGACATGGGCCAACCACCACCTGGCTTTTTAAAAAATCTTTTCTTTTTTAGATGTATTTATTTATTATGTTTATGACTTTTGGTTTATGTATGGATGTGTACCATTTGCATTCTTGGAGCTCATGGAGGACTGAAGAAGGTATTGGATCCCCTGGAGCTGGAGCACAGATGGTTATACACTACTTTGTGGGTGCCGGGAGCTGAACCCAGTTCCTCTGGAAGCAACAAATAATCTCAGTTCTTTGAGCCATCTCTCTCTCCAGCACTAGATTTTGGTTTTTGAGACAGGGTTTTCTCTGTATTGCCCTGGTTGTTATGGAACTCTTTGTAGACCAGGCTGGCCTTGAACTCACACAGAGATCCACCTGCTTCTGCCTCCCAAGCTCTGGGATTAAAGGCATGTTCTACCGCAGCCACAGCATTAGATTTTTTTAGTGAGAAAAATTTTAATTTTCCTTTGAGTCTTTTGATTGTGCCGCTTTATTATTTTTATTTTTAAGATAGTGTTTCATGTTGCTCAGATTGGCTTGAGCTTGTTAGGTTGCTGAGGATGACTTTGTGAACTGATATTTCCCCTACCTCCCATCTCTTGAGTTTAGTATTACAGGTGTGTGGTGCCACACTTGTTTATACAGTGCCAGCAATCTACCCAAGGTTTTATGTGTATAAGATAAGCACTCTACCAACCAAACTAAATCTTTAGCCTTTTCCGTTTGTTTTGCGACAGTGTCTGCCAAGTGACCCAGGCTAGCTTACAACTCTTGATTGTCTTGCCTCAGCTTCTTGAATGCTAAGATTACAGGTTAATCACTATACCCATCTAGTAAAAACATCCTTCAATTAACTGTTGCCATTAATAGTGTATGTGCTTTTATGCCTGGCAAGATATTACATATGGGTGATACTAGTCATCAGACAATTGATGAAGTACAGCAGTTCTAAATTATATATATGAAATTTCAGTGGTTGTTAAGACCCACTGAAAATAAAAACTATCTTTGGCAGTGCTTCAGCTCTTAACAATATATCTTTACATTTTTTTGTCTTGCGGTATTGCAGTATTCTGTCTTTGTGGGGATTGAATTTAGGGCCATTTGCATTTTAGGCAAGCACTCTGACTGAGCTATTATAACCTCAGTCACTGTTTTGAGGCAGCTTTTATGTAGCCCTGGTTGGCCTCCAATTAACTATGAAACCAAGACTGGCCTTTACTTAATCATGTTCCAGCTTCTGTTTCTCAAGTATTGGATCATAAGGCATGAACCACCATGCCTGCTCCTTCTCATCCTTTTACATGTTTTTATTTTGAGGTAGGGTCTACTAAGTTATGCAGATTGGCCCAGATCTATGTTGCACTTGAAGTTTTTGAACTTGAATCTTTTTGCTTCAGTATGCTGTATAGCTTAGATTACTGCTGGTGTTGTTCATCACAACTGGTCATTACTTCATTCAAACTTCCATAAATGGATCAACTGAATTGCTGTTTAGATCTACATTTGGAGAGAAGATTTTTGTATATTTCTCTCAAGGAGTGCCCCTTATTACGTTTAATTGTTGCCTTCTTTCAATCTCATACTTTATACTTAGGCAGTGGTGAATGAGTTTACTTGTAGGAACTGTTCTGTTTTCATTTTTGCTTTTTATTTGGGGATCACTTTTAAAAAAGTACATTCATTAAAACTAATCCTCTCTTTGGGATTCTTTGCATTCCTGGTCTTTTAAACCAAGTTGTTTCCTATTTTGCTGCTACATTGTATGTATATTTCTCAGTCTTTATATTTACTTCTTTATGGTGGAATTACTTTTGCAACAGTCACTTTTTTGTTACTTATTAGAAAATGTAAGCTTCTCAAGGTCAGAGATACTGCTTTACTTATTTGATTTCTGGTACTTAGCATAGTGGTTTGCACTATCTTCAGGAAATAGTTGTTACAAAAAATGTAACTAGAACAGTGAATGAGTGGACAGGTTTTATAAGTATCTGTTTTAATTAAAGGTTACATTTTTTTCTTAAGTATTTATGATTCCTTTTATTCTTTTGCATGTTTTCTTGGCTGAATGGGAATAGAGAAGAAGAAAATGAGGTAAGTATAATTGAATTAATCATTTAAGAAATGGCCTTTAAAGTTCATTTGTTATAGCTGAAAATATTTAAAGTTACCTGTCATTTTGACTGTGAAGTAAAGTTAATGGTTTTAATCAATTTGATTATTTCGAGCTATAACTCATCCCAATAGGAATATTGTATATAACAAGAAAGTAATTTTTATTTATCTTTATTTTATGTTCATTGGTGTTTTGCCTGCATGTATGTCTGTGTGAGGGTGTCAGAAGCCCTGGAACTGGAGTTACAGACAGTTGTGAGCTTCCATGTGGTGCTAGAAATTAAACCAGGGTCCTCTGGAAGAGCACCCAGTGCTCTTAATTGCTGAGCTATATCTCCAGCACCAAGAAAGTAACTTTTAAACTTAAAAGATTCAAGAGATTTAGAAAGGTAACAGAAGCTTGCAGTTGTAGAATCAGTTTATCTGTTTCTATGTATTAAGTCTCCAAATAATATTTAATTTGAAAAATAGATTGTTTATTAAATGTTTGAAAACCACTGCTATGCGTATAATGTAATATGTGTGTATATCTCAAAAGCTTTATTGCTTTTCTTTTTTTCTTTTTTGGATTTTCAAGAAAGGGTTTTTCTATCTAGCTTTGGCTGTCTGGGAACTGGCTTTGTTAGACCAGGATGGACTCAAACTCAGGGATCAGTTCTCAGTTCTGAGACCAAAGTAATGTGCCATTGTGCCCAGCTTTAAAACTAATGTTCAGTGCTATCATATTCAGGAGAAAAATTGCTCTCTTAAATAGCAAAGTAAATTAAAAGACGTGAAAAATTTTGTAGATTATGATTTTATTTGTTTTTGAAATAGGGTTTCTCTGTGTAACAGCCCTGGCTGTCCTGGAACTCAGAGATCGATTCACTTGCCTCTGCCTCCTGAGTGCTAGGCTTAATGTGCCATCATGCCCATCTATGGGGCAAAATTTTAATTTGGCCTTGAGTGTCTGCCTTGATATTACCCTCTTTAATTTGGCTTGGGGTGGGGATGTGGTGGTGTACACCTTTAATGCTGGAAGGCAGAAGCAGACTTATCTCCAGCCTGGGCTACATAGAGGGACCCTGTCTCAATGTGTGTGTGTGTATGTATATCTATACATATGCTTGAGTTTATGTCTGTAGATTTTTCTGTTATTCTTTGAACAACCTAGGATATGCCTTTCAATTCTGACCTCAACCATTTCAGAAACTTGGTAGTTTGAGAGACAATGGAGAAGACTTCTTAGTTATATTTTGTTGTTCACATAGTAATATTAGAGAATAAATTAGCATTACTATGGTAGTGTGCTAAGGCAGAATAATTTCAATTTCTAGTTTGGCAGAAGGCCTGCTTCTCTTTTGACTACTTTATCAGTACAGTGAATGTTGTAAGAGGCTAAGTTGTACCAGGGAAGGTCATTAAAATTGCTTGGACTTGTTGATCCCTACCTTAAAACAAAAATAGACATATCACAAACAGGTGGTTTTTTGCGTCATTTTAGTAGAGTCAGTGACACATATATAATCTCACATACCATGATTCTGTGTGATGCTAGGACACCCTTGGTTTATTTGGTCTTTGGTGTTTCTTAGGTGAATAACACACAAGGAAAGCTTATTTTGTAAACTGAGGTGTTGTTTACTGCCATGTATATAAGTTTCCTTTACATACCAGGTTAAAGGAAATTTTTGTTGAAAATTCTGTTAGAGCTGGGTGGTGGTGGTGGACGCCTTTAATCCCAGCACTTGGGAGGCAGAGGCAGGCGGATTTCTGAGTTTGAGGCCAGCCTGATCTACAGAGTGAGTTCCAGGACAGCCAGGGCTACACAGAGAAACCCTGTCTGGAACCCCCCCCCCCCCCAAAAAAAAAAAGAAAAAAGAAAGAAAGAAAATTCTGTTGGGCTGAGCGTGGTAGTGCATGGTTGCAATCCCACCCTGGGTAGGTGGAAGCATGAGCATTAACATGAGCGCACATAAACCGTGGGCTGCATGGTGAGAGTCTGCTTCAAACCCCCAAAACACCAAAACAAACTAACTCCCAGAGCAATAACAACAACACAAAACAGTTCCCCTCCAAAGAAGTGGAAAGGAAATAAAACAGGATCGTGAATGTAGAGGATAAGTGCCATGGTGGGTAAAATAGAAAAAAATGCAGGTAACTGCTGAAGCTGGGGATAGATGCGCTGTGATTTGTTATTCTTTATAGTTACACTTATCTTTTTACTTATGCCTAAAATGTTTAATAATAATGAACAACTAAAGTCCATTTTGTAGCATAGTGAAAGTCATATTGCTGTTGTTTTTTTTTTCCTTGACATTTTAAATTGTAATGACAGCTTGGAAGAAAGTATTTGTTGTAGTAATAATTGTTTTGTTCTTTTGTAGGCAAAGATTGAAAATGTGCAGAAAACAGGTTTCATCAAAGGACCAATGTTCAAAGGTGTTGCTTCAAGTCGATTTTTGCCCAAAGGCACGAAGACAAAAGTTAATTTGGAGGAACAGGGACGGCAGAAGGTGTCATTCAGCTTCAGTCTTACAAAGAAAACTTTACAGAATAGATTTCTCACTGCACTTAGCAATGAAAAGCAAAGTGATTCTCCAAACTCCCCAGCTACCCCTCTTCAAGTAGACTCAAACCCTAAAGTTAAAATGGACGCTGGAGATAATTTTCCTGCCACAGAAGAATCTTCACCACCAAAATCAAGAGTGGAATTGGGCAGAATTCATTTTAAGAAACATCTGCTTCATGTGACATCCAGGCCACAGCTGGCTACAACTACAACAATAGCATCTCCCCTTCCTCCTACAACACCAGTCCTACAACCAGCAGTCATAGCAGAGTCAACTATAGATTCACCACCTTCGTCTCCACCTCCACCTCCTCCACCTCCCCAAGCCTCATCACCCTCACCACCAGCACCAATATCGGAGCCAGTGGCCTTGCCTCAACCCCCAGTAACAGCACTAATGACATCACCACCAGGACCTTTATCAGTAGATGTAGCAGTTAGAGCTCAGAAAGAACCACCAGTTAAAAGTGTACCGGAATTTTTAGAGGTGGATACGAAGCCAGATATTGTATCTAATAGTTTGGAAGAACACACAATTCAAACTTTGAAGGAACAAGCAGATAATCCCCTGCAAAAAGAAGATTCCCATATTGGGAAGGAAGAAGAGGTTTCAGATGGCTCTAAAATAAGCTTCAGTTCTAAAAAAGCAAATTCTAAGAAGAAATCTTCACAATTTGAAGGCACATTTCTTGGTTCAGAATCTGATGAAGATTCTGTACGGACTTCCTCCAGTCAAAGATCACATGATTTAAAATCTTCCACAAGCATTGAGAAGGAAAGAGATTTTAAGAAGAGCTCAGCACCTTCAAAAAGTGAGGATTTGGGGAAATCATCAAGATCTAAAACAGAGAGAGATGATAAATACTTTAGTTACTCAAAACTTGAAAGAGATACTCGATATGTATCTTCCCGATGTAGGTCCGAAAGAGATCGAAGGCGAAGCCGATCTCGTTCTAGATCTGACAGAGCCTCTAGAACTAGTTTGTCTTATTCTCGGTCAGAAAGATCTCATTATTATGATTCTGAACGGCGCTACCATAGAAGTTCCCCTTATCGTGAGAGGACGCGCTATTCTCGGCCATATACAGATAACAGGGCACGGGAGAGCTCAGACTCTGAAGATGAGTATAAGAAGACATATACAAGGCGCACTTCAGCCCATTCCTACAGAGATCTAAGGACATCATCATCTTATTCTAAATTTGATCGGGACTGTAAAACTGAGACCTCTTATTTAGAGATGGAGAGAAGAGGAAAGTATTCTTCAAAACTAGAAAGAGAATCCAAACGGACTTCAGAGCATGAAGCCATAAAAAGATGTTGTTCTCCCCCAAATGAACTGGGATTCCGACGGGGGTCATCATATTCCAAGCACGATAACAGTACTTCCCGTTATAAATCTGCCCTTTCAAAATCTATATCCAAGTCTGATAAATTTAAAAATTCTTTCTGTTGTACAGAATTAAATGAGGAAAACAAACAATCTCATTCTTTTAGTTTGCAGACTCCTTGTTCAAAAGGTAGTGAATTAAGAACAATTAATAAAATTCCTGAAAGAGAAAAGACTGGGTCTCCAACTCCATCAAATCAATTAAATGATTCACCTACTTTAAAAAAGCTAGATGAATCTCCCATTCTTCAGCCTGAATGTGTAGGGCATGATAGCCATGAGAGTATTAAAGAATTGGAGTTATCAAAAGTGAAAAATGATCAATTAAGAAATTTTTGTTCCATTGAATTAAATGTAAATGGATCTCCAGAGACAGAAGCTGATGTGGCAACATTTTGTACTTCTAAAAGAGATGCTATTTCAATGACTTCTGATGATAGTGTGACTGGATCAGAGGTATCCCCTTTGATCAAGGCTTGCATGCTTTCATCAAATGGATTTCAGAATGTTGGTAGATGTAGAGAAAAGGACTCAGATGATACTTGTAGGCAGCACAATAAATCAAAAAGTCCATTTAGGGAAGTGGAACCTTTGTTGTCACCACACCATGATAAACTCAAGTCTTTGCCAGTTAAGACTGTAGATTATTCCAAAACATTAATTAAAGAACCAGTTGATAAGAGACATTCTTGCTGCAAAACCAAAGATTCAGATAGATACTGTTCTCCAAGTGAAAGCTCTGAAGCTGAAAATACTGAACCTTCAGTTATGAAGATTTCTTCAAATAGCTTTGTGGATGTGCATTTGGAATCCAAAGCAGTTCTATGTGGTAATAGGGAGCTGACAGGTGAGCACTCGGCGTTTACATGTGATGGATATAAGCAGAGCATTGGTAGCACTAATTCAGCTTCTCTTAACCATTTTGATGCTTTGTATGAGTCTATAGGGAGTTCAGGTATTATTTCATCTCTCCAGAGTCTTCCATCAGGAATAAGATGTGAAGAGAACACATCTCTAACTCTAGGTGCAGTGCAGAGTACAAAAGGCATAGATTTTTTAAAGTATGCAGGGAAAGAAACAGATGTTGGTAGTGCCCTTCCTGATTTAGGAAAAGGATTTTCTTCTTGGGAAAACAGGCATAATAACGAGTTACCTGGGCAGTCTTTGCAGGAGGCTCAAGAAGAAGGGAATTCCATATTGCACGAGAGAAGAGGAAGACCAGAAATCTCATTAGATGAGGAAGAACGAAGAGGCCATACACATACTTCTGATGATTCAGAAGTTGTATTTCCTTATGACTTGAACCTAACCATGGAAGACAGTGATGGTATAACTTACTCCTTAAAATGTGACAGCAGTGGTAATGCTCCAGAGATCATATCTACTGTCCATGAAGATTATTCTGGATCGTCTGCAAGTTCAAGCGATGAAAGTGATTCAGAAGATACAGAGTCTGATGACAGCAGTATTCCGAGAAACCGTCTCCAGTCTGTTGTGGTTGTGCCAAAGAATTCTACTTTGCCCATGGAAGAGACAAGTCCCTGTTCTTCTCGGAGCAGTCAGAGCTACAGACATTATTCTGACCACTGGGAAGATGGATTAGAGTCAAGGAGACATGCATATGAGGAAAAGTATGAGAGTATGGCAAGTAAAGGCTGTTCTCAAACTGAAAAATTCTTCCTTCATAAAGGAACAGAGAGGAATCCAGAAACTTCTTATTCACAGTTCAACAGGAGAGTAGATAATCACCTGCCTGAAATCGCTCATTCTCAAAGTGATGGAGTTGATAGTACAAGTCATACAGACTTGAAATCTGATCCTCTAGGTCACCTGAATTCAGAGGACACAGTAAGGGCCAAAACATCGAGGCCACAAGAGCTACCAGTTTATTCTGACGATTTTGAAGATATCCCAAATAAGTCTCGGCAGCAGATGATTTTCTCTAATCGGCCAGATAGTAGTAGACTAGGAAAAACAGAGCTGAGTTTTTCTTCCTCTTGTGACATTTCTCGAATGGATGGCTTGCACTCATCAGAGGAACTCAGAAACCTAGGGTGGGACTTTTCCCAACAAGAAAGGCCCACTACCACATACCAGCAACCTGACAGCAGCTATGGAACCTGTGGTACACACAAGTATCAGCAAAATACTGAACATTATGGTGGAACCCATAATTACTGGCAAGGCAATGGCTATTGGGACCCAAGATCAGCAGGTAGACCTCCAGGAACTGGGGTTGCTTATGATCGAATCCAAGGGCAAGTACCAGATTCTCTAACAGATGATCGTGAAGAAGAGGAAAATTGGGATCAGCGAAGTGGGTCACATTTCTCAAGCCCGTCCAATAAATTTTTCTTCCATCAGAAGGACAAGGGATCAGTGCAAGCACCAGAAATAAGCAGCAATTCAATTAAAGACTCTTTAGTCATGAATGAAAGGAAAGATTTTTCAAAAAACTTCGAAAAAAATGATATAAAAGAGAGAGGGCCTCCTAAAAAACGAAGGCAAGAATTGGAGAGTGATTCTGAAAGTGATGGTGAGCTACAGGCTAGAAAGAAAGTTAGAGTGGGGATAGAACAGGGAGAGTCGTCTGTGCCCCAACCCTCAGAGCTGATGGGGCCTTCCTGTGCTATGGATGACTTCAGGGACCCACAGCGATGGAAAGAATTTGCCAAGCTGGGGAAGATGCCTTGTTACTTCGATCTTATTGAAGAAAATGTTTATTTAACAGAAAGGTGAGCCTGACATAGTTTTTAAATAAATTTTTGCTACTTTTTTTGTAAAAAAGAAAAAGTCACTAATTAAAAGTAGCTTTCCAGCAGTTTAGACTGAAATAAGAGTTGAGTGATAAAATTTAGATAACAGAATCTATAAAATGGCATTTTTTATTTAGATTTATTAATGCATATCCTCCCATCTTTTTCCATCTTAAAAAAATGATGTCTAGGGTTTTTTGTTTGTTTTTATAATTTCTTTGGTTATTAAAAAGCATAACTTAAGCCGGGCGGTGGTGGCGCACGCCTTTAATCCCAACACTTGGGAGGCAGAGACAGGTGGATTTCTGAGTTCGAGGCCAGCCTGGTCTACCGAGTGAGTTCCAGGACAGCCAGGGCTACACAGAGAAACCCTGTCTTGAAAAACCAAAAAAAAAAAAAAAAAAAAAAAAAGGTATAACTTAAGCTGACCTGATTGCTCCTTTTAATTCATTTTTTTTTTCTCCCCTTGGTTTTGGTTTTTCGAGACAGGGTTTCTCTGTGTAGCCCTGCCTGTCCTGGAACTCACTCTGTAGATCAGGCTGGTCTCAAACTAAGAAATCCTCCTGCCCCTGCCTCCCAAGTGCGCCACCACCACCTGGCTCATTTTTCTTTCATGTGGTTTCAAAAGTATAAGCTAGCCTACTTTTTCTTAATTGCTTTTTCATGTGAAATTGTGACAGAAAAATGAGAGAAAAGTTCAGGTGATGGTTCAGTGGAAAAAAGACTTCTTTTCCAGAGGACCCAGGTGTAACTTCAGGCACCCACATGGTCACTCTCAGCTGTTACTCTGGTTCTAGGGAATCCCATGTTCGAACACTTGGACACTGCACACATATAGTACACAGGCATAACACAGGCAAAACACTCAAACTCATAACTTTAAACTTTTTTTTTTTTTAAGGGCAAATGATTTATTAGAAACTGTTTTCCTGGGGCTGGAGAGATGACTCAGCGGTTAAGAGCACTGGCTGTTCTTCCAGAGGTCCTGAGTTCAGTTCCCAGCAACCACATGGTGGCTCACAACCATCTGTAAAGAGATCTAATGCCCTTTTCTGGCCTGCAGATGTACATGCAAGCAGGATGCTGTATACCTAATAAATGAATCTTTTAAAGAAAAAAGAAACTGTTTTCCTTTTTCTTCTTTGTTTTTCCAGACAGTTTCTTTGTATTGCCCACTATCCTGGAAATTGCTATCCTGGAAATCGTACTGTAGACTAGGCTGGCCTCAAACTCAGAGCTGCTGCTTCCTCTGCTTCCATAGTGCAGGGATTAAAAGCTTGTGACACCACACCTGGCCTGATAACTTTTTTCTTTAAAACAAATGCACATGAAGCACCTTTAGGTATTATAAAGCCATAATTACAGTACAGTTTATTTATTTTATGTGTATTGTTGACTGGTGTTTTGCCTATATGTCTACGTTAGGGTGTCAGATTCCCTGAATCTGAAGTTGTAGAGCGTTGTAAGCTGCGATGTGGGTGCTGGGAATTGAACCCTGGTCCTCTGGAGGAGTAGCCAGTATTCTTACTTGATGAGCCAGCTCTTTCTCTAGTCCCTTAAATTCTAATTATGTGCGTCTGTATGTGGGCTTGTGCATGTGAGTTGGGGCTACAAAGGTGTGTTAGGTACCCTGGAGCCCAGAGGTAGTTATGAGCTACGTGAGGTAGGTGTGAGAAATCAAGGTCCTGGTCCTTTAGAGGAACAACACTCTGACCTGCTGAGCCATCTTGCCACCCACTGAATTTTGTTTCTGAAATCTTTACTGAATAATTATTTTTTAGATTTTAGATTTTTTTTTTCTGAGATATATATTTCACAATATTATCTGGGCTGGCCCAGAACTCCTTGGGTCTATGTCCTCCTGCCTTTGCCTCTTGAGCTAGTGGCACAGGCATTCACTAACCTTCCTGGCTCTGGTTCTTCTATAGTCATACTTCATTTTTAAAATATCCATTTTCTTTAAACAGATGTATACAAGTGTTACACTACTAAGGGATCCCGTAAAAGATTTGGTTGAATTAAACACATAGACACACACAAATTTCCTCCCCTTTCCTCCCCTCCGTACCTCTTCTTCCCTTCCTCTTATTGTAGTGCTGAGAAATTGAACCTAGAGACTATTTGTATGCTATCAGCAAGTGCTCTACCCCTAGACTTTGTTTTCTGCAAGCCCTAATAGGGGGTCTTCTATTGTTCTGGCTGGACTTGCCTGGTTTAGGCCAGCTTTGAATTTGGGAACTTTCCTCAGGCTAAGTAGCTTTGATAACAGGCATACACCACCACACCTGGCTTTTATCTAACTAATGCCAATGATTTAGATCATTATTATTTCATTCTCTTACCCTCTTCTCTTTTGGGAGTGGATGAGGGTGAGGGTATAGAGACTTGCCAGGCTGGCCTTCAGTCTGTTTCCACCTTAGTATTGTCTTTTGACTAGTTGACTTAAGAAATTAATAAATATGAAACCGAGCTTCAGTACTTATTTGATCAAATTATTATCTTCAGTAGACTGTGTAACTAAATTGTATGTAATTTTACCCAATAGGAAGAAGAACAAATCCCATCGGGATATTAAGCGAATGCAGTGTGAATGTACACCTCTTTCTAAAGATGAAAGAGCTCAAGGTGAAGTAGCGTGTGGAGAAGATTGCCTTAATCGTCTCCTCATGATTGAATGGTAAGCAAGATGGTCTACTCCTCTCCTCTCCCACTCATCTCGTGTAGTGTATGTCTTTAATGAAAAATAATAATGAAGGATAAAATTTTAACCTTTTTACTATATGTAAATGAATACTTATGAGCAATAAAATTTCCAGTGTTTAATAGAAAACAGATATTAAGATCAATTTCCACTGCATTGCTCATTAGATTATAGCATCTGGCACATAAGTGCTCTATAAAACAGTTTTATTGCTAATTAGTAATAATAATTATTATTTTCTTTTTTGGCTTTTTTTGAAATAGGCTCTCTATTATGTAGCCCTGGCTGTCCTAGAACTTGCTGAATAGACCAGGTATTTGCCTGAATCTGTCTGTCTCTGCCTCCCAAATGCTGGGATTAAGGCTTGTAAACAATCACAGCCTCTGCAACTACTTTTCATTCAGTGATGATTATGTCCTGAGAAGTAAATTGTGGCAATTGTGGTAATTTGATAATGAAATTAAACACAAAACTTGAAAATTCAAAAGGTGAATACCAACACTCAGAAGGCAGAGGCAAGTGGATCTCTGAGTTCTAGGACAGCCAGGGAAGGCTACACAGTGAAACCCTGTCTCAAAAAGCCAACCTTTTCCCTTTGTAGTTTCCTCAGAAGAAGTATTAATGTGTACAACATAGGCATATCTATTTTTAAACACTGATCTTTCTTCAAAGACACTTTATGGATGTTTTTAGTGATTTACTTAATTTTTTACTCTTTGGTTTTCCCCACCCTGACCCGAGACAGGGTTTTTCCATGTATCTCTGGCTGTACTAGAATTCACTATGTAGACCAGGTTGGTGCCGAACTCACAGGCATGTATCACTACTGCTGGGTGGTTGGTTTTTTTGTTTTTTAAATACATAGAAATAAAAGCATATTATGTATACTTTTGAATAATCAGACCTGATCTGAACTGCATATACAAATCTGCCTAATTTTTTTCTCTTAAGTACACTATGTTTTCTGTTCATAGTTGGCCCATAGTAATTAATTTTCTGCTGCTACATACTTGATTGGTATAATTCATAAGATGCTGACTATCTCTGCATTAAAAATGTTTCCTTTGTTGTTTAAGATAGGGTATAGCCTTGGCTGGTCTGCAATTTGCTGTGTTGATCAGCCGGGCCTAGAACTCATAGAGATATCCACCTGCCTTTCTGCCTCTCAAGGTTGGGATTGAAGTAGTGATTGGATTACTGGGCCTAGCTAAAAATGTTTGATAGTTGTTTTTAACCAGTCTGATTAATGAAAATTTCTTTCCTTTTTTTTTTGTTGTTGTTGTTGTTTCGAGACAGGGTTTCTCTGTTTTAGCCCTGGCTGTCCTGGAATTCACTCTGTAGACCAGGCTGGCCTCGAACTCAGAAATCCGCCTGCCTCTGCCTCCCAAGTGCTGGGATTAAAGGCGTGCGCCACCACTGCCCAGCTGGAAATTTCTTTTTTCTTAGTGTTTTGTTTTTGATGTGTGTGGGTGATTTTGCCTGCATGTAAGTCTGTATACTATCTGCATATTTGGTGCCTGTGGTACCCAAAAAAGAAGTCTGATACCGTGGAGCTAGTGTTGGGGATGGTTGTTAGCTGCCATGTGTATGCTGAGATTCAAACCCAAATTTTCTGGAAGAGGAGCTGGGCCATCTCTCCAGCCTTATTATTTTATCCCAGAAAAAAGTATTAGTCTAGACATGGTGGTGCACACTTTTTAATCCCAGCACTCAGATGAAGAGGCAGGCAAATTCTTAAGTGATAATACTGAGGAAGGATCACCTAAACTTGTGCAGTAGAGGTGAGGTATTTGTTGCTATATAACACAGTCTGCTGGAGATGTTACTATTATTATTTATGGTATTTAAAGAATTATCTTTTACCCATTTCTCATTTCAGTTCCTCTAGATGTCCAAATGGAGATTATTGTTCGAACAGACGGTTTCAGAGAAAACAGCATGCAGATGTAGAGGTCATACTTACAGAAAAGAAAGGCTGGGGTTTAAGGGCGGCTAAGGACCTTCCTTCGTAAGTTTGGTTTCTATCACCTTTTACTTCATCTTTTGTGTGTTGGATTGCCTGTGTAGAATGACTGCTTGGTAACTAGTTTGTTAAATTGATTTCTAGAAAATGAAGAAAATCCATTTTGGTTTTTTGGAAGGTTTGGGTTGTTTTGGTTTGTTGTACAGTTAGGATGAATGACTTTTGAGGCCTTTCATTTAGCTGAATCTTCTAGCCTAAATTGTTAGTCACTGCATATTGCTATAGTCTATAAATTTCCACTCTTGGATGTTTTAGTGGTTGGTTAGATTCTGGTATTTAAACTGGCCTCAATTAAAAGTATGAGCTGAGTGCACTGTCATTATAGACTGTTTGGTATAATACAGCACATTTTAAGACGCCAAGTAATCATTCTGGTGGGATCTGACTCCCAAGCTGGAGTGAAGCTCTGACTTTTGGCAGATGACCAAATTTCTTTGAACTCTCTGCCTGCCTTAAAACTCATGTTATATAGCTTCAGTGATCAGGGAGGAGAATTTAGTTTTTGATAAGAAATGGAAAGATCTTATACAAAGTATTTTTAGCAGTTACTGTAATTTACAAGATAGCCTGTGTAGGACTTGAAAATTTGTCATTATTATGCATCACTTACAAAGTTGATACGTTTCTTTGATCAGAAAGAAACATCTTAGGACATATTATTTTTTACTTTACATGTATAGATGTTTATCTCAATGTATGTCTGTGCACCTAGTGCCGAAGATCCATTGGATCCTATGGAATTGGAATTACAGGTGGTTGTGAGCTGCTATGTTGGTTGCTGGGGGTTGAATCTTGGTCTTCTGGAAGAATAGACAGTGTTCTTAATTGCTGAGCCATCCCTTTAGTTCTTTCAATATTGATTATAAAGATAATGATTTAACTTCAGATTTAGCCATGAGTGAGTAGGTTATTACTAATGAGCTCTAACTTGGCTGTTAAAAAAAATAAATTTATTTACTATATTTTTCTATGGATACTTTTAAGTTTTGTTGTTAATGAGATACAGACTCTCATTGTGTAGCCCTGGTTGACAGGGAACTCAAAATAGACCATGGCCTTACATGCTGGCTAGACTCACTGGGATCTGACTGCCTCTATCCCAATTGCTGAAATTAAATGTATATGCCACTTCATTCAGCTGAGATAAGTAGATTTCTCTGAGTAGCCCTAGCTGTTCTGGAACTCACTCTGTAGACCAGGGCGGCCTCAAACTCAGAGATCCTTCTGCCTCTGTCTCCCAAGTACTGGGATCACCACTGACAGCCTAATTTTTTTTTTAAGAGAATTATTTTTAGTTGGTAGGGTAACTTTTAATAAGCACTTTGATTATATCAGTATCTGATGAACAAAACCAAATGGTTTATATTTTGTTTTTAATTTGTGTCTGTGTGTGGAGGTCAGAGGACTAGAAACTTGTGAGAACCAGTTCTTTCTTTCTACCATGTGTATTTTAGGGATTGAACAAAGGTTCAATAAGACTTGGCACACATTCTTAAAATTGTTTCATTGGAGCTTAAAACTTCCAGGCAGGTTTAGTTTCCAACTCAGGAGCAGTGAGTGCATAATAAAGCATTTGTATGTGTATAAAGTTGTGAAGTTGTCAGTGGCAATAAAATTTCAGAGAATAAAGGAATGCGAGATTCCTTTATATGTGAGATTTAATCACTTCATAAAGCATGGGTAAATAACCAAGGAAAGAACAAGTAAGTGTATTAAGATAACTGGCAGAAGCCAAGGAGAGACTGATCACATTTACTTAGGAATGTTGCAGAGAAAACACAAAAAAGGTATAAGAAAACACAAAAAAGGTATAATTTTGCTGTCAGAAAAAAGGTATAATTTTGTTTTGTTTTTAATATAGGCTGTTCCTTTTTTTCCCCTATAGTGGTACATTATAATTGAATCTAAATTTGAAGCTCTGCTGGCATAGCAAACCCAGTTCTTTGGATGGTTTAAAGATGTCAGACCCCAATGAGTATGGTGGCTCATGCATGTAATCCCAGCAATCTGGAGGCAGAGGCAGGCAGATCATTTCTAGGGCAGTCAGGGATGCACAGAGAAAGTCCTTGTTGTACTGCTGTGAAGAGAACCATTACCAAGGCAACTCTTATAATAGAGAGTATTTTTTGGGGTGCTTGCTTACAGTTTCAGAGGCTAATCCATCATCATAGCAGGGAGCATTGTATGCAAGCACACACAGTGCTGCAGTGAGCTACTTCTGATCTGAAGACAGCAGAAAAGAGAGAACCTGAGACTGGCATGGGCTTTTGAAACCTCAAACACCCCCCCCCAGGCCCCCCCCCCCCCCCACGTGATATGCCTCCTCCATCAAGGCCACACCTCCTGATCCTTTTACTCCTGTTAAAGAGTTCTATTCCCTAGTGACTAAGCCTTTAAATATGGGGGCAAATGTTATTCAAAGCACCATAGAAACCTTATCTTTAAAAAAAAGAAATTCTGGTAGTAGTGGTATATGTGCTGCATACAAACACCTTTAATACCAGTAAGGCTTAAAGACAGACAGACAGCTACATTGAGAAACCCTGTCTCAAACATAACAGCCCTCCCACCCCCCCCCCCCCCCCCCCCATAAGATATCAAACCTCTGGCTAGAGATGGCTGAGTGATTAAGAAGAGTACTTGTTTTTGCAGAGGACCAGGGCTCAGTTCCCAGCACCTAAGTGGCAGCTCACACCCATCCATAGCTCTTGTTTCAGGGATCTGACTTCAGTTCGCATCAGGCATTGGCACGCACATGGCATGTACAGAGACATAAATGCATGCATAACACTAGTCACATAAAAATAAAGGAGTGTGTGTGTGTGTGTGTGTGTGTGTGTGTGTGTATGTATAAAAAGATGTCAGATCTCTAGTTGACTCATAAAAGAGTTAATCATTCTTCCATTCCTTGGTCCAAGATTTAAAATTAACCAATTTTGAGCTCACCAATGTTTTCATTAATATTCCTTTGGTGTTCCATATTCATAGCAGTTATCAGTTATTGAAGCCTCTAGTGTGTTTATATATAAGGGCTCCTTAACAATTCACTTTGTAAGAGTAAAGTTTGTCAGCCGGGCGGTGGTGGCGCATGCCTTTAATCCCAGCACTTGGGAGGCAGAGGCAGGCGGATTTCTGAGTTCGAGGCCAGCCTGGTCTACCAAGTGAGTTCCAGGACACCCAGGGCTATACAGAAAAACCCTGTCTCGAAAAACAAAAAAAAAGAATAAAGTTTGTCTTTCATTCTTACAGAGTATTGTTTTCTCAACTTTTATTCTAAACATTTTCTAAATGGCCTACAGTACGCTGTCAATCTGAAAGCATGCTGACACAGGATTTCTAGTTGGCTGTAGAGTATATGTCGTGTAAACTGCTATTACTTTATGAAACATCATTGGAGTTATTTGTGAAACTTCATTGTCCTTGCTCATAGCAGAGTGAGGCAATTAGTCATGTGCACTTTGAGCCAAATCCACGTCTTAAAACATGGGTACTGCCTTATGCCTTTTCTATAGAAGTTTCTGCCTCTCCCCTTCCCTTTCTCTGCCACTTTTCCCCTTGCATATTTGTTTCTGGTGTTTTAAAAACAAACAAACAAAAAACCAGAATTATCTTGGGTTATTCTTGAGAATATCTCTTTGCGTAAATAAAATTGCTTCATTTTGTATAGCTGTTTTATGCAAATTCATGATAAGTATTCTGGGTAGTATTCTGGACAGGGAGACTAGCCAAGAAGCCAGAGACAAGAGACAAATTTGACTTTTATCATCATTAAAGAACTTTGAAAGTAAGAACAACAGAAGGGCTACTATATTTAAATTGCTTTAATTGTTCCTAACAATTTTCAGTGTCATAGTTTGATCAGAGCTCTTTACCAGCTGTGAACACTGATTCCATATTTGTAAACCATATTTAAAATGTGTCTGGGTGAGGGGAGGGAAGTTACTGAAAGGTGTAACTCAGGGCCTTGCATAATGCCAAGACTGTTTACCTTACCAGTGAGCTCATTTCCCAGCACAGTCAAGAGAATATGCATCTTGGAAGTCTGTATAAAGTTTAACTATTTTCTTAGACTCGGTGGTCTTTTAACTATTTTAGGAAAGAGGTAGGTGATGCATGCGTATTGTCTTGGTACTCAAGTGACTGAGGTAGGGGGATTTTCAGGTTCAAGGCCTGGGCATTGAGTACGTAATAAATACTTTGCATTTTATGTTTTAGTAGTTTTGTAAATTTTCAGTGTAATTCCTATGCTGGAAGTACTATTTTTCATTGTTTTGTAGGAACACCTTTGTCCTGGAATACTGTGGAGAAGTACTTGATCATAAAGAGTTTAAAGCTCGGGTAAAAGAATATGCACGGAACAAAAACATCCACTACTATTTCATGGCCCTGAAAAATGATGAGGTAAAGCAGTGTGAATGTGTTTACTTAAAAAGGATAAGAGGGCTGTTTCATTGGGGAAATAGGGCATGGGTGGGTGGACATACTGATTGATGTTTAAATGACAAAAACTGGGCCAGAAGAAATTAACAAAATTAAATAGCCATTCGTGCCTCTAATTTCTGCACTGGGGAGATGGAGGCAGAAAGATCAGGAGTTCAAGACCTTCATTATCTGTTTGTAGCCAGGTTTTGCTACATAAAACTCTCTCAAAACGAAATAAAACAGAATCAGAACCATATGTAGTTTCTATTTGTTTACAAATGGATGGGGAGAGGTGGTATGTATATGTAAATACAAACATACATGCTTCATACGACAACTTTAAAAATCATAGATGATTCCCGGAATGTTTTTATGCGGGCTATATTTTAATGCTGTGAAATTTAGAAATGTCTGTCATTCCATTTTAAAGTGATACTAATGAGCATGTTTCTTGTTGATACAAACAACAGCTCTGAAAATAGTTTCTCATAAAACTTTTTTTGAGAAAAAAAAATTATGAGACGTGTTAATGTTGAATTTTGCATTTTTATAAATCTTCCATGTGTGGTTTGATAACGCTTTGCTAGATCCTTAGATCTGCTTCTATAGTCAAGGTAAAAATTGCCACCTATCTCTAGACTCACTTTTTAGCAATCTGAGTCTGGCTTCTGGAATTTCTAGTTTAGGGCATTTGGACGTGTTCTCAAGTTGTAGAGCTGCTGAACTATGGCACAGTGCCTGTTTTAAAAGGAGTTATTCCACATGTGAGATTGAAGTGCAAGAAAGTATAAGGAATAGAAGAAGAAAAAATACAAGAAGTAGCTAAGAGAGACTTATATTTTCTGTTTTGTTTTTGGGACCAGATCTCACTTTATAGCTTTGGTCTGACTAGAACTCAGTAGGCTCCCTGAATTCTCAGTGATCTTGTCCCTGCCTCCCAAGTGCTGAGATTAAAGACATGGGACACTGTGATCTAGAATGTGCTAAGTACTTCAGGAAGATCTTGATCTTCTGATCCTCCTGCCTCTGACCCCAGTTTCTAGGATTACAGGCATGTGCTATTATGTCTGGTTTTATGAAGTACTGAGGATTGAACCCAGGGTTTCTATGTTCTAGACATAGATAGTCTCTGTGGAAACCAAGTTTATCCCTAGCCCCAAGAAATGATTTTGCCTTTATAGAAACTACCTAACAAAAATTGTAGAAAAGCAGTCAGCCATTTGTTACTGTTATAGAAAGTTCTCTAAAATAGGATAAGAACCAAAGGGATGTATGTGGGTTTTTTACATTAAAATTACCTTAATGCATTTTCTTTTTAAAAAGCCATGGATTTGTTGTTGTTGTTTGGTTTTTTGAGACAGGGTTTCTCTGTGTAGCCCTGGCTGTACTGGAAATCACTCTGTAGACCAGGCTGGCCTCGACGTCAGAGATCTGCCTGCCTCTGCCTCCCAAGTGCTGGGATTAAAGGTGTGCACCACCACTGGCCAGCTAAGGCATGGATATTTTAAGATCTCACTTTAAGAATCTTAAAATTTTCTTCTTTTTCTCAGATAATAGATGCTACTCAAAAAGGGAATTGCTCTCGTTTCATGAATCATAGCTGTGAACCAAACTGTGAAACCCAAAAAGTAAGTTGATATAAATGTTTAAATTTTGAAGTATTTATTCAGATTGCTGTTTTTACCATTAATTTTAATTTCTACATCAGAGGTAAGTACTCTTCTAATTTTTTCTTATTTTACTTTATTCTCATTTTGGAGTAAGTTTAGATTTATATCAATACAGAATTGCAAAATTGTAGAATTGCAAAAATAGAGTACATGGCCAATTATCACCCCTCACCTACCTTCCCTAAGTGCTTATGAAGTTTTGATCAATCAAAAGACTATTATAATTTTATAATAAAGTAAGATTTTTTTTAAAGTAAGATTTAAGTTGTTACATGTGTGTGTGAGTGCATATATGTGTGTGTGTATGCTTTCATGTGTGCATGTGCATCTGTATGTCGAGGTCAGAGGAGAACCTGGAGGAGTTGAGTCTTTCACCATGTGGGTACAGGAGACTGAGCTCAGGCCTGATGAACCTGATGAACGATCTTGTCAACCTTTTTGTTTGTTTGTTTGTTTGTTTTGGGTTTTCGAGACAGGGTTTCTCTGTGTAGCCCTGGCTGTCCTGGAACTCACTCTGTAGACCAGGCTGGCCTCAAACTCAGAAATCCACCTGCCTCTGCCTGGGATTAAAGGTGTGTGACACCACCGCCCGGTACTTGTCAACCTTTTAATATCATCTTTACACCTATAATTTTTTCTAGTCTAAAATTCGACTAAGAAATTTGTTACATTTGATGATAGTTATTGTAGATTTTATTTCAAAGGCACTGTAATACAAACAAATCTGAATTTTCATCAGTGATTATTGTCAAATTCATATATTTTTTAGATTTTTTAATTTATTTTATGTATATGAGTACACTGTAGTTGTCTTCAGACACACCAGAAGAGGGTGTCAGATCACATTGCAGATGGTTGTGAGCCACTGGTTGCTTGGAATTGAACTCAGGATCTTTGGGAGAGCAGCCAGTGCTCTTAACCATTGAGCCAACTCTTCAGCCCCCTATATTCAGATTCTTTATCAAGACTCCAGGTGCCAATTTGACTGTTTTATAACACTCGTATAGCATAAGTAGCCAAAATAGAGAGGGATTAGAAAATCTAGGTTAAAGACTTGGAGAGATAGCTCAGCAATTCCTGTTCTTGTTGAGATCCCAGGTTTGATTCCTTGTACCACAGGTGGTGGTTCTCAATGTATGTGTAATTCCAGTTCCAGGTGACCTAGTGCCTTTGTCTGACCTCCATGGCACCAGGCATGCATATGGTGCACATGTTAGATTGCAGGCAAAACACTCATACACAGAATAAAATAAATCTTTAAAACATAAAGGAAAGAAATTTTAAGTAAGCTATAGTTGGTGAGGAAGAAGGTAGCCTAATGGAGAAAAGTGTTTGTGGTGTAATCCTGATGGCCTCCCCGTACTTAAGTCCTAGTGCTCCTATAGCAAGGTGGGAAGTGGAGATGGGAGAGTGACTGAAAACTTGTAAGCCAGCTACTCTGTAGCTAAGTGGCAGAAATGAGAGATCCTGCTTCAAAACAATGTGGAAGATGAGTTGGAGAGTTGGCTCAGCAGTTCAATTCTTAAAAAAGACCGGAGTTTGGTACTGGGAATTGGGCTCAGGTTTTGATACTCAGTGACACCTAGAATCCTCGTTTTGTTTTGTTTTTTAAGACCAAATTAGCTTTATTATATGTAAATGTAAGTTAAAAGCAGTTTTTGTTTTGTTTTATTTCTATTGGCTATGCAATACAAGCGCTTGTGTTTGCTAGCCAAGAGCTTTTTCTATTAGCTACGTTCTCTAGTCCAGTAGCAGTTCATTTTATTGTAATATAGGCCAATTAATGGGTACTGAATTTGATAGTCAATTAAATAAAAATGGTATGTTGGTTAAAAAAATCAACTCATTTGCTTTTAGAAAACACCACAAAGATTTATACATGTAATGCAGTCAGATAAGAATAGTCTTTATACAAATGGATGTTCAAACATTAATCAGTTACTAATGTCTAGTCTTCTCAAAACATTTCAGTGGACTGTGAATGGACAACTGAGGGTTGGATTTTTTACCACCAAACTAGTTCCTTCAGGCTCAGAATTGACATTTGATTACCAGTTCCAAAGATATGGGTAAGTAATGGTTTTGTTTTTTTTTTTGCTGCTTCTGATATGGAAAATAGATGTTCAGATACAGTGATATAAAATTCTTGTGTGAATTATTTAGAAGTTACATATACTGTCAGTTCTCATCTATAATATGCCATCATAATTTCATTTATTTTTTTCTATTATGTGATTTTTCTGGCCACTAAGGGATTTACAGTACAAGAACTATGTAATATTCCTCTGAACTCAATGTAATAAAGCTACTATAGGGCTGGGGATGCTGTTCAGCTGATAGCGTGCTTTCCTAGCATGAATGAGTCTCCCTGGTTTTGAATTCTAATACTAAATAAAAAATGGAATATGGTGGTGCATGCCTGGGAGCCTATCATGTAGGACATGGGTTCTCAACCCTCCTAATGCTGTGACCCTTTTAATACAGTTCATCATGTTGTGGTCTCCAACCATAAAATTATTTTTGTTACTTCTTCATAACTAATTTTGCTACTATTATGAATCATTATATAAATATCTGATATGCAGATGGTTTTAGGTGACCCCTGTGAAAGGTTAATTCAACCTAAAGTAGCCCTAACTCACACAGATTGAGAAGCAATGATGTAGTAGGTGGAGGCAGGAGGATGAGAACTTAAGGCCACTCTTGCCTGTGTATCAAGTTGAGAACAGCCTGGCCTAGATGAGACCATTTCTCAACAAAGCAAAATGAAGAAAAAAAAAAAAAAAGGCAAAAAACCCAAGACGAATTCATTATAGAAATATCAGCTTTGAGTGTGTATGTATGAAGAGAATAATATCTTTTTCTATCCATCCTTTATCAACTTTTAGATAATATTGTTCAACTTATACCAACTGTATTGTACTCCTTTTGGAATTCGGAGTGATGGCACAATGGTCAAGAGCACTGACTGCTCTTCCAAAAGAAATTCCCAGTACCCGCATGGGAGCTCACAACTGTCTGTGAGCTCCAGTTTCATGGTATCTGATACTCTAACACAGACATACATACATGCAAAACATAAATGCATACAAATAAATCATAAAATATGTGGTGGTATACTCCTTTGATCCCATCAGTTGGGAGATAGAGGTACATGGCTCTTTGAGTTTCAAGGCTAGCCTCGGTCTGCATTGTAAATTCCAAGCCAGCCAGGGCTCTGTAGTGGGACTGTTATTTTAGTAAGGTAGAGTGGTATATGCTTGTCTTTCCCACGTTCAAAATGCGAAAGGATCAAAATTAAATAGAACCAATAAAGTGAAAGGGTAGAAATTTGTAAAATTCTGAAAGCTTTCCTCCTCCCCAGATTATACCTTTGTTACTTTTGATGCTTATATTAAAAGGCACACAGATTAAGTTTCTAGGATATTTTAATCCTTTCATGCTAGTATGTGACAAGATATAGTTTTCTTACTTTGTCTAGTGTTTTTACCAGTGGCTACTTTTCTTGGTAGTGATGCTGTCGTTTCAGATATTTCTTCACATATTTTGTATTGCAGAACTTAGTGATTCGTTCAGTTCTGAAAGTGTTATCTTATTAGTAATACTGTTTTTCTTATCAGTAGATAACTACAGACCAGGTTCTATGTATGATTCCTATTGTTTTGTTTTTGGTTTTGTTTTATGTGCTTGTATTAGCCTTTCTGAGAGCAGAGAAATGGATATTTTTTGGGTCTTTGCTCTGTGACAGTTTACTCTTTTTGCTTCTAATTGCTTGTAGAGGTGGATTTTACCCAGGACTGTAGACTTAAGTCAGAATTCTTCTCCACTGCTTTCCTTACCTCCATGGTTTCATTTAGTCAGTTGTTACTGTATTTATTATTGCCAGAGTTCATCGTGTGATAAGTTTTTGAATCAAGTGTTTTCTTTTTGAGTGTCATGATATTGCATTTTATATGTTTTTATAATAGTGGATCTTTTTGGTGTACCAAGCAAACGTTTATACATAAGTAATAGTTGTCTAAGCTGTGTTACCGATTTTATTTCTAGCACAAACAATGTATATAGCCTCTTACTTTTATGCTTCAATAAGTAATTTTAATCTAACAGGTAATAAAAGTTTAGAAAAATGATGAAGCCAATCCTGCTAGTGCCGGCCTGTAATCAAGCTACATGGGAGGCTGAAAGGTTCAAAGCCAGTCTGACCAACCCGTTGAAACTGTCTCAAAAATAGGAAGTAGTAAAGGGGCTGGAAGTGAAGCATATTAGTAGACTATTGTTAACTTGTAGAACCCATGGATTGAATTTGTCTCCCCCACTACCTCCCCTAACACACACACACACACACACACACACACACACACACACACACACACA